AGTTCTCCTCTGTTACACCAGGGGGTGCTGTGAGTGGATGATCTATAAGAGTATATACGAGTATATAGTGACACAATAGATGACAGCCTAGGAAATCCTGTGGGGCAGTTCTAAGGACACATCAGGCCGCTGTGAGTTGTAATCGACTTGAGGGCACCAAAGAGCAACAACAACAGTATGGGAGTAGGCAGATATAGACGACAACCCTCATTCTACAGGAGAGGACCTAAAATAGGGAGAGTTGATGGTGGGAAGGAGCTTGTCCAAGACAATCCAGTAAGTAAGCAAGAAAAGTCACTTCTGGAATCCAGAGACTGATGGCATCTCAGAGAAATTCTGAAGTGAATTAACTGAAGGTGACAGAGGATATGTGAGTATTTTTCAATTGCCATCAATGAACTCTCTTTTGTGTGTAAAGCTATATGCTCCAATATTGCATTCACTTGTCGTTTGTTGTTGTTGTTAGGTGCCATCCAGTCGGTACCGACTCCTAGTGACGCTATGCACAACAGAAGGAAACACTGCCCGATCCTGGGCCAACCTCACAATCGTTGCTACGTTTGACCCCATTGAGGCTGCCGCTGTGCAAGTCCATCTCATTGGGGGGGTCTTCCTCTTCATCTCTGACTTTGCGTCACTTACGTGACAGTACATCTTTGGGCTTTAAGAGTTAAGAGAGTAACTGACCGCCGGTAAAAGTGAATGGAATCTGGGTCAAGTGCAGCCATTACACCCACACATTCCAAAGGTGAGGCAAGAGCTTCTTACTCTCAGAAGGTCGGAGACATCACCAAGGCAGACCGACTCCCATTCCCTGTTCCCATGTTGTTATGAACCACCATCGAGTTGAACCCATGCAAGATGGACCAAACTGCCCCCTGGATCATTGGGGCTGAGTTTCGGAAGTTGATCCACAGGCCCTCTGTCTCTTAGTCTGGAAGCCCACTGAAGCCTGTTCACAAATCTTCACTGACAGACAGGTGGGGCTACCCACAAGGTGCACAGACTGGAATGGAACCCAGGTCTTCTGCGTGGAAGGCAGGAATTCTACCACTAAAGCCACCATTGTCTCCTCACAGAACCGATACAAACCCTGGGTTGGAGAATCACAGTCAATCCTATCTCCCGCCATTGACCCTTCAATTGGATTTGAGGTTTCCCAGGTGTAAGATGGAGCCAACCCATTCTGTGTTCAAGATGAACCTCCTCCTCCTCCTCAGACACCAAGTCAGAACTCACCACCTTCTCCAGGTCCATCGTTCTCGTCCATCGAGCTACAGACTTTGGTGGATGAAAGAGAGGTGGAGGAGCCGCCATGCTGAGAGCTCTGTCAGGGAAGAGAACAGAAGAAAAGCACGGAGTCAGAAAAAGCAGGGAGCTCAGGAGAGGGTGCGTCCCCTATGGGGACTATCTGCTCTTCACATCGGAAATGGAGGTTCTAAGAATATCCAAATCCTGCAGGGTCAACTCACTAGCCTACCTGATTAACAAATCCAATCACCGGTTGGATAGGATAACTGTGTCAGGCTAGTCCTTTTAAATCAGGACGTTCAATGAGTCTGTGTCCCTTAATCTCAAAATTCAGCATCGTTAAGCTCAGTGTTGAGGTTTGGCCAAATTCAATCATCTCACCGTGTTTCCACATTCCATCTGCCAATGAGCCTCCAATGCGGCGCCACTCTTCTCTGATTCACTGATTTGCTTTTCTAGTCTTACAATAGAAAGACAACACTTCTTCCATTTGTTCTTATGGAGTAACCTAAAAGAAAAAATTCAGCCTTCCCACGTCCTTAGGCGTAAGATGAAAGGGTGGGCTTCTTCATTCCGCTTTGAGATCAATACAGAAGCGCTAAACAGGTTCTGGGTGGATTGTTAAATGTTACACAATAAGGTTGAGGCAAGGTCAGGGATAAACAGCTAGGCTTGTTGGTTGCCTTGTGATCGCGTTAACTCATAAGAGATTACAGAGCAGCAGCAATAGAGCTGGGACGATACCCCAATCACCAAAGGTTTTAATAATAGGAGCAGGACTTCCCACAACGAACATTTCCACCTCAGAACTGTTTCCTTGAGGAAACAATTTGCACGTCTGAAAGCTATCTAAACAGTGACCACAGTTTGTCCTAAAAGACCTCCTTCGGTTCCCCTGGTGGAGCCACTTGGTTGGGAGCAGGAGGTGGGAAAGGGACAGTGTTGGCGCCTGCTGGTGGCTGTCTGGAGCAGAGAGAAGGGGCAGAGCACCTGAAGTTGAGTTCATAATGAAGTGCTGCCCAGAAGTACTGACCTGTCTCCCTTCGACCTCCTCACCTTCCGTTCCGTCCTAACTGAGGTTTTATATCTTTACACGATGCCCAGCAGTATCCTGCTCAGGTTATGATAAGCTTTCCATTTTCATGAAAGGACCGATAGATCTGGGGAAAGTCTAGCAAAGTCACCGCTGGACCATTCAAATGGACCGTCAATGAGAGCTTTCCTGGGGCCCGCTCAAATAAGCACATTCCATGGAATGGGTTCATCAAAGCTGAGAGGGGACAGGACTGGGATGAAATTTACCCTCACAGCAGTAGTAACTGCCTGCTTCCTTAAAGAACAATCTAGAAGTTTTGTGGTTACACTAGTGTGGTGTAACAACCATATCATAAAAATAAATACCATAAAAAACCAACAAACATGGATAAGTCTGGTGATTTCAGCTACTTTTCCATGCCATCTCACCCGACGTCCTTGATGCCAGAATGGTCCGTTTGTAACGTTAGACTAGAAATAGGGATTTCCATTGCGACCTTCAGACATCAACCCGAGAGTCACAACAGACTCTGTTGTCAGTACTGCTACCTGGACAGATAAGTAAGCAAGAAAAGTCACTTCTGGAATCCAGAGACTGATGGCATCTCAGAGAAATTCTGAAGTGAATTAACTGAAGATTTGTGGGACCCTGGGACGGTGATTTCGGGATAGGAGACTGAGAACAGAACTGCCGGTTTCTCAGGTCTGGAGACAATGACGCATTAACAGGGCGGAGCTGTAGGTTCTCCAGCATAGGAACCTTGGGTGTCCAGCGCTAGGGCGTTGGCTGGAGACATCCTGGGGCCCGGTGCTGACAGGAACTAAGTCAATATCTCAGATGTAGTCCTTGGCTTCCGGACTTTTAGAGTTTAGGAGTCTTCAAGCAGTGTTGAAAAAGGTGTTTCCTAAGGTAGACGTGCCGTGGCTTCAGGTAGCCAATGCTGCCTTGCCCTGTGGTGTGTTGTTTGAGAATACAGACAGTCTTTCAGCAAGCACCCAAACTCATGGATGGGTACCGCGTTTCCCAGCAAACACATTCACGGTTTGTGTGCTCAGTCCCCAAAGCCTCTTCTTTTAATCAGAACATCACATGCTTGCTCAACACAGAACTCTGACCCAAAGTCTAGGAAAACATCTTTTTGAAAGGTAAGGTTTTTAATAAACTCATTGGATATTATTCAGTAAACTCTCTTATGGGCCAATGAAGTGTGTCTTCCGGAAGGGTCATCAAGTGTGTGACACTCGAGTGTTTGCCAGCTGTGGTCTCTAGATTTTACTAACAAAAACCCTCAAGATTTTGACTCTGGTTTTTAAAAAAAAGAAAGAAAAAAAAAGAGGAAGGATAAGGATTATCACAAATTTGTGTACTGCTAAAATTGCTTTTGAAGTTTTCAATTTTAGGTTTATGTTTAGGCAAATGTACCCCAAAATCATTTCAAATGGCACCCTGACCGAGGGTAACAGATAGCTGACAGTTTTACGGGAAAAAAGCCTCCCAAAAAAACAGAATCAATTTCAAATAGGGTAATCTGGAAATGAAAAGGTCTCATTTTGTTTCTTATACACAAACAGAGTAAAGTATATCAGTTCTACAGACGTGAATGCTGCGTCTCCAATGAGAAGGAAGGGGCTTCTTATACCGCTCATTTTAGACCAGTTGCTACCCAGGTGACTCTGGTTTCTGGGGGCCCAGGCACATACGCCAGATGGGAGCTCTGCTCCATGGGGGGCGGGGTTCAAAGTCTGAGTTGGCAGAAACACATCACCAGGCCTTTATTCTAAAGTATCTCCGGGAAGACTTGAACCATCAACCCTTCTGTTAGCAGCTCAGTTTGTTAACCACTGACACCAACAAGGGGCTCTAGGGAATCAAAGTATTTGGGGGACAGGAATGGACTTAAATGTTGCCTATTCCATCTATCTCCCACCCAGAAATCAAATCCCTTCCTACAAAACCCCCACTTAGGTGGTTCAATGGCTTCAGTGCTGATTCCCTAGAACAGGTGGACTTCGCTTTATTGAGCTAGTACTCCAGACAGGCAGACCTGTTTTATGGGCTTCATTTTAGGGTGCCTTGTAGACACTGTCCTTTTTACAAATGGGAGGTTTGTGGCCACCCTGTAGTAAATACGGTTATCAGCACCATTTTTCCAAGAGCCTGTGGCTCACTGCTTGCCTCTCTCCATTTTGTCATCCTCACAGGAAGCTGAAGAAAATGAAAACAAGTCCATAAGAGCCAAAAGATGACCTTGAATAGATTCCACCTGAATTTAGAGATCATCTGAAGAACAGACGTGATACATTAAACACTAAAGACCAAAGACCAGAAGAATTGTGGGATGACATCAAGAACATCATACAGGAAGAAAGCAAAAAGTCATTGA